TTTCCCATTATTAGGTAAGCTTGACGTTTCTTCCCCATTGTCTTTAATATTGAAACCAGACAACAATAATTAATAATTAAAGTCGTTAACAATCCAAATAACAAGTAAGCACTCCAAAAAGAATGAAACAATGCACTGCAAAAATCAGCACACATGCATTTAATATGACACCCACACCGCACACATCAGAATAAAGTATATGCAGTACATATAGTACATCCATAAGAAGTCAAAGCTGCCGGGCGGTGGTGGCGCACGCCTTTAATCCCAGCACTCGGGAGGCAGAGCCAGGCGGATCTCTGTGAGTTCGAGGCCAGCCTGAGCTACCAAGTGAGCTCCAGGAAAGGCGCAAAGCTACACAGAGAAACCCTGTCTCGAAAAACCAAAAACAAAACAAAAAAAAAAAAAAAAAAAAAAAAAAAGAAGTCAAAGCTACCATAAGAAAACAGCATTCTGTATTATAGCATTTTGTTTGGCTATGATGTAACCTAATGCAATTTACTAATTCCTTGAGAATGAGTCACAGGTGAGAAACTGGCTTTAAAAATGTAACTCTTGTTTACGTTAAGTGGGAAACAAAAGTGATTCTGATATTGCATAAATTGTCAAGTGAGTGCTATCTGAAAAATTACGATAAAGCCAATTCATAAAGTGTGAAAACTCAGAACTTGAGTGAATAAATGAGATATAAAAGGACAGGAAAACAGAAAGATTAGCTCTTCAACTAAATGAAAATGGAAATTATTCTACAGGACTACAATTCACTAAATTTTAAATCTATATCAGTGAGGAAAATGAAAGGCATTTGAAATTCTAGTGTTGAGAATATTTGATATTCAAAATGGGATGTAAGTATACAATTCTATAACCAAGCAACTAAGATCGCCTTTCTTTCCATTAGTAGATACATATTGATAATTTCTTCACTTGATAAATTACAACATTACTGGCATAAGGTCTTTTTGTTTTAAAAACTATAAATTCTGTTCAGAGAATGCATCAATGAAAATATACCTTGGGTAGAGTATACGCCAGGGCATTGTTTTCTTACAGTGATATAAAGAGGGAGAGGCACAGCCGAACTTGAAAACTCATACATGAATTCACATCATAAAAGATCAATTAAAGAATTAACAGACGTTGGCTTAAGTTATTCTACAGACTTCATAGAAAGTTAAAATTCAAGACGTCAACTTAGAGAAAATTAGGATCCAATTCTGAGGTTCAAATAAACATCATGACAATTGAATACAATTAGACAAGTGTGGTGCTGAGTATATAATATTTTACTCCGACAGAACCTGATATCCAATTATGTTTTTACTACAAAACCGAACAAGCCAAAGCCTGCGCAGCCTCTAAAGGCAGCGGCCACGGAGAGGAGTGGCTGATAAACAGGACATATGATACTGAACTCGGACAGAGAAGGGAACCTGGAGGAGACAGTCTTATTTAGGAAATGAAATAGTGGGAAAGGGATCATAGTCTATTAAATGTTAAATAAATTCAGTATTTTCATTCTAGATATCCTTAAGAAGTGTCTTTCCTACTTTGAAACCCTTAGGCAAGAAAATAGAGTTCCCTTGTTCAGGAAAGCATAAGGGAAATCGAGTTTTATAGTACCTAGCTGACAAAGATTATTTATTAAAATGAAAAGAAACAACCAGAATGTAAAGAATAGGCTTAGGTAAACAATGTATATATTTAGGCCAAAGACATTGTCTATAATGCTACTTTGTTTTGATTACTAAAGAGATATTCAAACAATTGACCAAATTAAAGACTGTGGAATTGACTAGATAGTCTCACTGTCACTCTGAGGACGTTGTAAGGTTGGACATTAACTTAGGAGACACACAGTCAAACCGACCTGCCTTGACCTTGCCTCCTCCCTCCTTGTCTCCCCCCTCTTCTTCCACATGCCCAATTTCTTCATGAACTTCTGTGTTTGCCAAAGTAAAAGAAAAAGACAAGACCAGGGGTCTGGTTGTTAGTTTTAAAAGATAACAAACAAATGAATCATTTTTAATGAAATAAAAAGAAAAGTAAGAGTTACATATTGCATTCCTGACATGCCTCTGAAAGCAAATCTGTTTACTGTTAATGCATCATCACAGTTGGCAGTGGTACTGACTTGGGAACCAGAAATCGTAACACCTTAGAATATTTGGCATAGCTCAAAAACAGAGGCACAATTTTTTGCCTCTATAGTAGGTATATTATTAGGAAAATATTACATAAATTTTCTTCTATGAAGAAAACCATGACACTATAAGCTCTTTTTTTTAATATTTGTTTTATTGAGACAGGGTTCCTTTGCAGAACATGGCTGTCCTAGAACTCACTCTATAGACCAGGCTGGCCTTGAACTCATAGAAATCTGCCTGTCTCTGCCTCCTGAGTGCTGTGATTAAAGGTGTGTGGCACCATTAACAACAATAGTTAAATTATAGCTTATTTTCTAGTTGCTAAAGGCAGATTAAATACTTCATTATGTTTGTATTAGGAATGCCATTAATGACAAGATCTAGCAACCATCTAGAAGAAGCTCAGAAATTTGGACTATCAGTCTGGATGATTATTTTGGATGACTGCACCTTTAACTTTGGTTAGAGGTCGAAGATCTACAGAAGAGGTATACAGTATGTCCTCTAACACTGAAAGAGTTCCAGGTTCATGGATCTCTGAAGCCTCAATATGAACATGTCTGAGAATGCTGCTCAACATCAGCCAGTACCATTAAGCAATACAAATTAAACAAAACTTCCTCCACACTGAGAAGAGAGGGAAGGTTTTGGTTCCTCTTTCCTTTATGAAATAAAAAGCAGAAAATCAAAATTAAAGACATTATGGAAATTGCTAATGGAAATTGCTAATATTAGTGCTTTTAATGTAGTCTACCTGGAAAAAAAACTGTAGGTAACACATTCATAAAAGTCCTCTGAATTTCTCTTCTGCAATGAGGCTTGTTCTCTTCCATATCTAGCACTGCACAACATGAAACTATCACACCTCAACAGACTCTTGTTATAAAAGATGGGAAAATGGAAGCTTTAAGTTTTTGAGGGAACGAAAGTTGCACACTATTGACCCCTCCTTATGAAAACCATTTAAAAGCATAGCATTTTAATCTGATGGAAATACTAAAGCACTACAGCAATGCCACAGAAGTCTTTCTATCAGACACAAAGCCAGAGTGTCAGCCACACCTACGGTGTGCTCTTTAGAATTAAAATAGGCGAGAAGAGGAAGAACCCACAAAAGCTGATTCAGTCACAACTAACAAGAGCACACGTAGATCAAAACGTTACGTAAGACAATAAAAGATTTGCTGCTCAACACAATCCATGTATGGATTTGTTGTAAATATGTCACAGGACTATGAGTTTTCTATAAACACATCATGACAAGTTTTTAGTACCAATCTATATACTATGTGAGGTATCACTTCATTTTTGAAGACAGTGTTTCCTTTGTCAACTCCATAAATATTCGTTCCAGTCTAGGCATCCTTCTATGTGCTGGAGACTCAGCAGTAAAAAACACAGCCAGCAATTCCACAATTCTGAAACTAGCAGCTTTTTTTTAAATCACACTAGCAAATGTATGACAGTCCACATATTACACCTCAGTGTTTTTTCTCGAGGTGTAATGCAGTGTTTGATAATAAAGGCATAAAACTGTCATATTATCCTTGAATACTCTACGCAGACTTGCTACAACAGAAAGCAGGAAACAGGAAATACAAGTCACAACCACTATCTAGCTCAACAACTTCTTTTGTAGAAAGTCAAAGTTATAATAAAAGGATCATCAAAAATACAAATGAAATATAAAATGATAAATATAGCCAGACTCTGTATACATCCTCAAAGGCATAAACACAGACTGCAACTGATATCTCTGTTTATAGTCTCATTCAAAATCCAGAATTTTGTTTAAAAAGTAAATTAAATGTTTTATAAGAACAAATATTATCTAGTTATTTAAAAGAAGTTAAATGCTTTGTACTTTTGCTTGAATCAAATTAAATTCCATGGTGTTATTTCACAAAAAATAAAATTTGTGTGCTTCCTTAGAAACTAGAAAACAAAATAATTCAACTGTATATAAAACTATACAAACAAAGTCACATCAGTTGCAGTTGGGTTTATTTTTAATGCACAGCCTCCCCAAAAGGCTTTCAGCACAAACAAACGCTCCTTATGTACAGACCTTCATAAGGGTCTATCTCCTTGACTCCACTGTCTAGGGAAAGCAAAATAAAACGAAAACATGGGGGGGGCAAAGCATAGGGGTTAAAAACAACACAAATTTCAAAGTTACAGAATTGATCGTCTGTTAAAGAAAACTTAAATGATGATTTAGATATATACATACACAGCTTTGGAAAAGAGTTACTAAAAAGAGGAACTGTGATTTAAAAGATGGCAACATTACTCTGTTATCCAAGATTGTAGAGAGAATTTAACTGAGATTTGTAAGTGCTTGAGAAGTGTGTTTGAGTGTGTCAGCTTCTCCAGTTACTAGCAGCATCAGTGTAACACCCATCTTTTACTGTGCATTCAGGGTGACCTGTTGCTGCCATTCCAGGTTTGAGAAGGACCACCATTGTCACGCATCAGCAAACTAGTCCTTACAATGTTATGAAAATTGATTTAGCTAGTTACTAATAAACTTTGTATAATCACCAATAACTTCATAATGCTAGATGTAGCAAAGACATTATAATCCAGCTGCTTGCATGAGGCTACTGCTAACTTTTAAATATAGTTATTCAAATTTGAAATGTAAAATAAGAAAAGATTGTTTCTTTTTATCCCCAAACATAATTTTTACATGCAATATATATTATATTCACAAATATAACTACTTTCAAATGAAGTCATGCACATAGCTAAATACAGGAAGATAATAACACAATGATAATAGAAAATCTTGAGTCGCCCCAGCTCCCATGTGTATTTCCTAATGGCAAAATTAGAAAACTGAGAACTTACTTCTCTCCAGTGTTCCCTTTGGTGGGAGCTGTGGCAGCTGCCGGCCCCTTCGTCCTGCTACAGGAGTACTTGATGGGCTTGTCTGGACAGACCCGGTCCGAGGGTGAGACCTACAAGATGCACATTAATATATTTTCAGTAAGCACTAAATCAGTTCAGTATGCTATCTGGCTTATGAAACGGCTGTATTAGTGTGATTTTTAAACGTGGATTGCTGCTGGTTAAAAGGAGAACAAAACAAATACGGACATTTGAACAGTTACTTAAACACCAAAAAATGTTTATGTTTTGGTGTAATATGTATACACACACACACATACATGCACACAAAGCCTATAGTAAAACACATGAAATAAGTAATATAGACTACCAATCTATTCATCTAAAGCAAGTAGAAAATTCTACAACTTAAAAAATAAAAATTTATATTATAGTAGAAAGACTATAATATAAATTCTTAAAACTAACCTTCCTCCTTTGACCCAATCAGATTTTTATTTAAGTTTATACTAAATATCCTTTTTATTAGAAAACATTTCATGAATCTACCAAAAAAAAAAAAATCCCAAGTAACTTCAAACTCAGCTAAAGAAAATTCTGATATCTAATACTAATGTTCATGGAAACTAAATATGTCTAACTTATTTACTGTCGTGAGGATTCTTAGAAAAGTCATGCCTAATGAGCACAGTCATTTCTCCTTCTGTGGAAGAAAATGATAGTTATGACAGGATTTACCCAGGACTCTTGACTAATGAGAAATCACAAAACAAATGCAATCAGGACAGTTAAGAAACAAATTACAATGGTAATGACACACTATTATATCCACTGAATATAAATAGTGTGTTTACACTGACAGGTTAGTATCGACTTGTACTGGTGATCAGTCAGAAATGACAGAAGAGACCATTTACTGCTGGGAAAATAAAATGGTGTGTTGGTAGAGCAGACGGGGAAGTTAGTCTGATCAATTTATCTTTCACCTCGATAAGGCAGGTGAAGGAGGGGCAGATCTTCCAGTCATTAATGAAGGCATCGACCTCATGAGGTTTGTATCAGGACGTTCAGAGGATCTGGAGCGGGTGGTGGTCCGCTCTAGGAGAGGCCGCTGTTCTGTTGATCTGGATCTGTGATATGGCTGTCTATCTGCTGCTTCACAATCCCTGAAACGTTAGTCAGAAAGCAGCTCAGTTGGTCTTTAGTGCCCTTCTGCTATTTGGTCATGATGCATCAAACTGATTTTGAAAAAAAAAATGCTTAAAATTACTGTGTATGCAAGAAAAGAATTTTCCCAACACATCCTGAGTAATTTCTGACTAAGCTTAAAAAGTTCTAAAGAACCCAAATCTGATTTTATCAGCAATTACCAGTAATTGAATTATAACCGATTGCTCAGTTATAATCATTGCAGCCCCAGCTACCTGCTTTCCAGAATGAAGAGAACGTGTGAGCTGTGTGATGTATCCTAGTATAAAGACTTTCACCAATGTTTCCTACTACTTCCCAGAGAAGAGAAGTTATGCAGGATGTTTATTAGCAAACAGAGTAAGATATAAAAATGTTAATAGCATTATCATAATGTACTGAGAGCTTGAATATCTTAAGCAGAAGAATGAAAATGAGGTTACAGGAGAACAGGGCAGCTTGGAAGTGCGCACCCATATTTAATCACACCCTCCAAACAGACTTCACTCTGCAGAGAACTAGACTCCAGCATCCACCTAGTGTACTTCAGTTAGACCAGACAACTCAGACAGGTGTCGGGAGAAAAATGAAAAATAAAAATAAAAAAATAAAGACCCCCTCCAACCACTGAAAATTAATTCTTGTTGAAGCAAGAATACTCTTAATGAGATCAATAAATGGCTATAATTCAGTTCCATGATTTGGAAGACAAATTTAAAAACACTAACTATTGCTCTAGAACTCAAAAGCAACATATATGACCAAACTCCATTTCAAACAGTTACCATTTGAGCCGAAAGCAGTCACAGTAAAGGAAGAATTTACAGACTACAGGGAGAGCAAACAGTAATGTCATGGGCTGAACCATTTTACCTACAAATACGCTCTGATTTTTGAAAATCAAAAAAAATGGGCGATTAGAGAAAAGTAATAAAAAAGGACACAATATCCTCATTATCATGAATTATATGTCATACAGATTTGGAAAAACAAATACTATTAGAAACAGAGTACTGGATTCACCCTATATTGTTATATATCTTTGAATAATACTTTAAAGTTGCAGACTCAAACAGAAGTACATTCATTTAAAGAACTTTTTATGTGACTGACTTCCTAAGTCAAATTCAGTACTGTTTCTAAACACACCCAGAGCAGGAGAGGGGCTGGAGAGACGGCTCAGTTTAAAGGGCAGTCATGATCAAAAACGTCATGATATCCAAGATTAAATATAAATTCATACATATTTGATTACCATAAAAATGAATTAAATGGAATTTCAGCATAAAATTCATAGTTCTATTCTTCTGAAATTCTATTTCAGAGGAAGCACAGTTTTTGAAAATCAATGTGACCAATAATGTGTGACCCATTCTTAGTGCAAGGCCTCTGGTTTGCCCTCACAGCAACAGGTCAGTAAAAGCAGAGGGCCACACAGCGGTCTTTCTCTGTACTTCTTACATTTCTAAAAAACTGTATTATGAAGAATACCAAGCTTTATGTTTGTTTCAAAGATTTATTGTGATCTTAGTCTAATAAACTTTTCTCTCACATAGCATTTGGTGGAAAAACTTAATAAAGTATCTTTAGTGATCACAACAGGGTGCTGGTGTCCACTCGTCAAAAATCTCACCTGTTCTTACCTAGTCAAGCAATTTTTCAAGTGAAATATATATACATACATATATATGAATGTATATATTCACATACATAAACACACATGTATTATATACTGTTACATTGTATGGTTTGACTTTTTTGATACTGTATTTTTAAAAATAATTGATTCATAATTCTAGGTGCGGGACAGAATATTAATTCCAATGTCCTGACATGTCTCATGCCTCAAAGGGATTCTGTTTATTTGTAGAATAAACATCCCCACCTTAGGAAAAATACCTCATAAAGATTTTTCTTTCTTTAGTGAAAATGGTTTGCTAATTATAGGGAATTTTTACATTTTTCCAGATATCTTTGTTACCACAAATAATATAAAACATACTCAGTATAGACTGGGTGAAAGTAGGTTAATAAGTGAAAGATTAAAAAGACCACAGTAGAAGGTAGAATTTTCCTCATAAATCCTGTCACAGTAATGGACAGCTATTATATTTTAAATTTTGCAACACACAAGGTCAAGCTATACTTTCTGTGCTCACGACCAGCTAAGAATAGAAGTGATCAGTTAAGGCTTAGAGGTTAAAGTCACAGCAGCACTCAGTGAATGACACAACCCCAGAGGAATCACCCCAATGCTCCAGATAAGGAAAGCTAGCATTTCTAGCAACACTGGAATAGGCATTCATTTATGGAAGAATACATACACATCCTCAGTATCAACAACTGAGTAGGAAACACTAAATAGCTATTTATAAGGTTTAACATGTTCAGTGTTTAATTGGAGTTCTTGAGCTGTGGTTTGTATTCCAATTGAAGTATTTTCCTTAGTAATCCTAATTTATTTAATTCGTTTTATTCTACACATAAAAACATTGTTTTAGAAAGGGTAGCCACTGTTTTTTTAAAAAGTACATAACACAAACAAGAAAACTTCACTTGTAAATTTAAATCTTTAGGAAAACAATTAAACTGTACTTTAAAAAGTGATTTAATAATCCATCCCAATTATATTTTGGAATAGTTTACAATTTTAATCAATGTTTAAAATAGTTCACATTTTTGTTTTGTAATTTTCTGAATTGATACAAGTATGGTGCTTCACCACTATGTAGAGGACTGTAGTGCAAACTGAATGCATTTTAAGAGGAAACTGCCTAATCACCCCTCAGTTACCTGACACTGAGTTTCAGAACCGTAAGAGGAGCCGCCATGACAATCACATAGCACATGCAGACTGAGAGAAGCATGAGAGATAGGACAGGATGAGAAAGTAAGACTTGACACACAGGGTAACAGTAGACAGGCTGTGCAGGCTGTGTGTGTGTGTGTGTGTGTGTGTGTGTGTGTGTGTGTGTGTGCGTGTGCGTGTGTGTGTGTGTAGGTGTGTATAACAGACCAAACAAGGCAGCGCCTGAGAGCAGTTCAAGAGAGGAAAGGGAATGGGAAAATGATGCAATTATGTTTTAATTTCAAAAAGTCAAAAAAGGAAGTAAATAATTTAGATGTGCTTTGATTGAAATGTTAGTCTTTTCTCGGATAATCTAAAAATGAAAGACCATTAAGTTTTAGTATCCCTTCAGGAATTTTTAAGGGAAAAAAATTCAGGACATTTAGTGAAGCTAATTGAGTCTTGAAACATTTTCTCTGTCTGACGGGCTATTCTTAAAATATTTTAAAAATTTCTAAGTATCTGATACAATTTTCTACTTAATCGATCACTGATGTTACCTCGGGCCATTGTTTTCAATTAAAACACAAGAGATTGAGGAAAGGTTCCAGGGAAGAAACAACCTGCAGAATTCCTTCCTATAGCTTACTTCCACCTACATGCACACTCACTCCTTCCTATAGCTTACTTCCATCTACATGCACACTCACTCCTTCCTATAGCTTAC